ACAGTCCCTATTCTATTATAAAATGAAAACAAAGAATAAATTGAAAACTCGAATTATATGTATTAGATCTCTAAATTAGATAACGTAAAATGATTTTTAGGACCCACTATATATTATTTATTATTTACTAATTCGCAGGATCTACTTCTACTTTGAAAGTTTCAACAGAACAACCTTTGAGATCGTCAACAAGTAAGTAGATATGACAAATATTACAATGTTTTAAAGAAACTATACGGTCAATATTCTATTATAAAATGAAAAAAAAAGGAATAAATTGAAAACGTGACTTACTTACAAGTATTAGATCTCTAAATAAGATAACGCAAACTGATTTTAAAAACACACTATATATTATTTATTGTTTAATAATTCGCAGGTCCTACTTCTACCTTGAAAGTTTCAACAGAACAATTTTTGAAATCTTCAACATCAAGTAAGTAGAAATGACAAAGATTAGAATGTTTCAAAGAAACTGCACATTCAATATCCTATTAGAAAATGAAAACAAAGAATAAAATGAAACTTGATTTACATGTTTTACATCTCTAAATGAGCTAACGTAAACTGATATTTAAAACACATAATATAATTATTGTTATTTACTAATTTGTAGTTCCTACTTCTACTTTGAAAGTTTCAACAGAACAGCCTTTGAAATCTTCATCATCAAGTAAGTAGAAATGACAAAGATTAGAATGTTTCAAAGAAACTGTACATTCTATATCCTATTATAAAATGAAAACAAAGAATAAAATGAAACTTGATTTACATGTTTTGCATCTCAAAATAAGCTAACGTAAAATTATTTTTAAAGCACACTATATATTATTTTTCATTTATGAATTTATTTATTATTATTTACTGATTCGCAGGTCCTACTTCTACCTTGAAAGTTTCAACGGGACAGCCTTTGAAATCTTCAACAGCAAGTAAGTAGACGCAACAAAGATAAAAAGTTTCAAAGAAATTACTCATTCCATATCCAACTATAAAAGGAAAACAAAGAATGAAATTAAAATTTGACCTGTTGGTAATTTTATTGAATGAATGTAATGTAATTTTGCTTGTCCTTTTCACAAAGATATTTTCTAGATATATTTCTTTTACTTCATTTACAAACCTTAGAAATGAGTATGGCGAAAGTTGAAAGGCTTGGTAAAACGGCTGAATACTAGCTGATGCCGGTCTATCTGAAACAAACCACATGATATTAATCATATTCATTGGATAATAATATTAAATCACATAGTTTATCCCACATTTATAAATAAATCATGACTGTATTCATAGGTCCTTATTTATTTGTTTTTTATTTAACTATGTTTTCGAGTGACGTTATTGCCTAATTTAAATTGAAAGAATTTGTTCAGAGTATTTCTGAGCCCTATTCTTTAAAAATGATTAAAAACCTTTTTCCAAGATCAATCTTTATTCTCTCTACAGCAGCAATAACAACTGTACATTATAATTCTACAACTAGTGAAACTGTAGAATAGTTCTGAGGATATGTATTACTCACTTCAGGTACAATGCAATGATTGGTTAATTCATAGGCTTCTCCCAAGTCACACCGGGCAAAGAACTTATACGCTTCGCGTAAAGA